GGTTTTAGGGGTTATATACTGTACACTTTAAGGTATAATCAAAACCAAAGCATTGTTTTAAATTGAGAAGGGAATGGTTAGAAACTCTTTCGATTTTTATTGTTCTGTGTGTCCCCACTATGGAGATTCCCTCTCTCGGTTTGTCATAGTGACCATTTCAAGGCACCCTTAAGGTAGGCAAAAGGCACCATGGCACCTTGGGTGAGAAAGCCTGCTCTAAATAAACCCCAAAGTGTACAACCAGAGAAAAGAGATGTTATAGTTCAGCAGGTGACTAAGGGGCTGATTAATACGTATTTGCATGGTACTACCACCAGTAGATAGAGCCAAGGAGCATCAGAAATCCCTATGCTCCTCAGTGCCATCTAGTGGTGGCAGTGCTGTGCAAACTGCAAATGCCATTCACTCAGCTATATGTTGGGTGGAATATTTATAGCTCAACCCCTTTGGCTCCTAGACTCCACTTGTAATTGAAATATGTTTGGAAGGACTCGCTGTTGAATAAGATGTAGTTTCTATTGGATTTGAAATTCTAAGGTCCTTTAGTATGAGGCATTTCAGAGAAAAATTCTAGCAAACCCAACAGTGGGCGCTCCAATAGGTCGCTGTAAGAGAGGACGCTGGCTAGGTTTGTGTGAACACTAAGGGAATTTATTTTCTGGTTGAACAGGATATCCAAGTAAATGGTATTATGTAGCAGAGAGTAATGAAATGATATATGGGTACAGTACATTTTCACAAAATAGCTTTTGTTCGTTGGCTAAATGAATAATATTTTGATGGATGGATCATTTGTTAAAGTATAAATAGAATACCAGTATATGACCACCAATGGAAAACTAGTCACCGAGGCGGGAGGAGACATGAATTCTGGCTGACTTGTTGTGCGTAATGAGGGTGAGTTTTAATTGCACATTATTAGGAGATTAATCTTATATATGAAAGCTTGTTGACCTGCCACGCAGGAACCTTTGAATTACCTAGTAGCTTCATTATGTTGCTTAGTTGTAAAGTGCTGTACATTAATTATAGTGTATAAATCTCACCGTGCTAGCCACAATTATACATTGTACAGTATAATAGCCAAGGTCACTGAGATATAGTGTATATGTCATTTTTCTATGGCCATGCAAATTGTGCATTTAAACTGAAAAGTGGTGGTGACTATAAAGAAGGAATGAGAAAGAAGTCATTATTTTGTCATAAACAGTTCTATACACAATGCAGATATTATGTGCCAGAAAACTAGGTTGGCAGCCATTTATTTCTAGTTTTTGCCAGAAGATCTGTTTTTTTTTTTTATAAGCTGAATTTCAGGCAAATTGCTAAATATGCAGCTAAACTACATTTAAATGAGCTGCTTTACTTTACTGCCAAAACATTTCTATTTTCATCCAGTCATAAAATTTTCACATTTACAGGTGCCCTTATGGAACATTAAACGGTCCCCCTGATCTGTGAATACCCAGTAAAAGGAAAAGCAGCACACTGATGAGCTCATCTCTCTGTCACTCTGCTCTCTCCTCCATTTAGAAAACTGTGTTAGCACATGAGTATTGCAGACTAACTGATTGTCTCCCTGTGCTTATTACCCTTTCCCCAGTCTGGGTTTTGTTGTACAGGGACTGCAGCAAACTAATAACAAGTCAAATGTGGGCACTTGCACTCAGGGCCATCCCTATAATGAGGCTGTTGCCTCAGGCGGCATCTCTTTGGGTAACGTGGGGGGAGGGTTAGGGGGGAGCAGCAGGCTCTGACCAGAGTGTCACAGGTGCTAGTTTGCTAAGAACCGGACGGGGAGATGTGTATGGTCCATACACATCTCCCCACCCAGCTCTTAGCAGCCTGGGACCCTCTGGCCGGTGTTCTGCCCAGCTTCTGGCAACCAGTGATGTCAGTGAGCTGGGTGGGATGCTGACCAGAGATGGGCGGTGTACCATCAGGATGCTGTCCAGAACTCCATTAGCATGCACCACCAGCACCCCATTAACCCCTCCCTCCCAGAACGTGACCACCAGCATCACCTGCCTCAGGTGAAAATTATGCTAGGGACACCCCTGGTTACCCTGCTTCTATTTAAAAAATACATTTCATGATGTATTTATGAAAAGAAGGCTGCATTTATTTGGGTCTTTTGTATCTGCCTTAAAACTTTTGTACTTGATACAAGCCCAGACTGAGCATGTGATGAAAACACAGTTTAACCTTGTTACAGCTTACTTTTCTGTATTTAAGGTAATCTATACTCTATAGCAGGGGTGGGCAACTCTGACCCTCCAGCTGTGGTGAAACTACAAATCCCATGATGCATCTGTCCCTGGCAGTCATGCCTGCGGCTGCGAAAATTTTGCAATGCCTCATGAGATTTGTAGTTCCACAACAGCTGGAGGGCCGGAGTTTGCCCACCTCTGCTCTACAGTAATCTTCTAGAAATTACAAGTAATGCTATCTATGGAAACATGTATAAGAGAGACCCTATACCTGCATACATTTCTATGCTGTGTTATGTAACAAGCGCTTCTCAGTTTGTTTATGCTACTTCAATACTTTGTGTTGTATATTGAAAGAATAATTAAATTAATATAGGGAGCATAGTTGCAGATTGACTGGATGATGATAAGTCCAGCAAGAGCCCCAAAAATTGGAAGTGTTCTGTTATCGAGCAATAATAAAGAGAAACTAGAGAAAGAAGAAAAAGGTTAATAGAAAAAGTGAAAGGAAAGAAAAAAGGGAGAAAGTACAGTTACAATACAATTCAAGAAATTATGGTTAGGAGGACCTTGCTCGGGAGAGCATACAATCTAGTAGGAGGGGCAAGTGATACAAAAGGCATTAATGAGGGATGAGTTGATGGAAGAAGTAAAAGGACCGTTATTATGTGGAGGTAGGATAGGCCGGCGGAAGAATTAAAAGGACCGTTATTATGTGGAGGCAGGATAGGCCGGCGGAAGAAGTAAAGGGCAGTTATCATATGGAGGTGGGATAGGCTGACGGAAGAAGTAAAAGGGCAGTTATCATGTGGAGGTGTGATAGGCTGACGGCAGAAGTAAAAGGGCAGTTATCATGTGGAGGTAGGATAGCCTGACGGCAGAAGTAAAAGGGCAGTTTTCATGTGGAGGTGGGGTAGCCTGACGGAAGAAGTAAAAGGGCAGTTATCATGTGGAGGTGTGATAGGCTGACAGCAGAAGTAAAAGGGCATTTATCATGTGGAGGTGTGATAGGCTGACGGCAGAAGTAAAAGGGCAGTTATCATGTGGAGGTGAGATAGCCTGACGGAAGAAGTAAAAGGGCAGTTATCATGTGGAGGTGTGATAGGCTGACGGCAGAAGTAAAAGGGCAGTTATCATGTGGAGGTGGGATAGGCTTACGGAAGAAGTAAAAGGGCAGTTATCATGTGGAGGTGGGATAGCCTGACGGAAGAAGTAAAAGGGCAGTTACCATGTGGAGGTGGGATAGGCTTCCCTGAAGAGATACGTTTTCAGAGATTGCCTAAAGGTGGACAGAGTAGGAGATAGATTGGGGTTGGGAGTTCCAAAGGATGGGAGAGATTGTGGAGATGATCTGGAGGTGAACATGGGAGAAGATGATGAGGGAGCTAGATAGTAGAAGGAAGGAGCAGAGAGCATGGTTTGGGTGATATTTTGAAATGAGGTTGGTGACCTTGTGGTTTTCTACCTGTTATACTTATTTTAAGAGTTTTTACATTGGTCTACACATACTTCAATGCATACAACAATGGGAAAGTGAATCATTGTCTTAAAAAAAAGCAAATTTGTTTTCAAGTGTCCGACATAATGTACAGTATGTTCCAATTACCTTACAATGGATTGGAAAATGATGAAAAGTGGAGCAAAGGAAACTGGACATGTTATTCCCAGCAAGCGAACTTAGGGATAAATCTAGTTGCTATCAGCAACCGTCTTATGTTCCCTTTGCTTAAGATTTCATAAATGTACCCAGCAGTTGTCGCTGCAGGTCAGCCATTTTTTTTAATGACAGCAGCTGCTCACATGATGATGTACTTCTAATGTATAATTGCTATTTCAGACAAGAGTTAATATACAACCATTTGCGGAATTTTAAATTGCTTCAAGATCGCTCATTATTTGTACCACCAAGACTCATTCCCTGTCTAATGGACAAATGTCCTTCTGGAGATTTATGGCCCTAATAACTTAATATCAAGGACACTTTGCTTTTATTTTATGGCCGCTACTTAATATTTTTTACAATCAGTATAAAGCATACTGAGAATCGCTTTAACTCCCATTCACATAAATTGGATATGAAAAGTCATTAGCTAAGCATGATCATATTAGCATTATTTCACTATATTAAGGCTACGTGACTGCCGTTATCACATCAATTTTGCAGCTACAAAATGGGCAGCAGGTAATAAACAGTCATAACAGTCTAGGATTTCTGCACACTGATCTGTGGTACTGCTAGCTGGGACTTGGACTCTCTTCTGTCACACACTGGACCTTCTATATTTGTAAAATGAGTCAACAGGCAAGAAATAAAACCCAAAGTGCTTAGCTTTGAATTATAAGTTCAATGTATATTTTGTAGCTCTATTTGATAAATAGAGGGGAATTTACTAAAACTGGAGCAGACAGAATCTGGAACAGTTGCATATGGCAACCAGCCAGCTTAATTTTTCAAAGCTTAACTGAACAAACTGAAGATAGAAGCTGACTGGGTACTATAGGCAATTGCTTCAGTTTTGGTATATTCTCCCCATAGTTTATAACAACTAAATAAATATCACATGCACACACACTAATTATATATTTAAAATGAAAGCAATTTTCAAAGTGTAGTAGCCCGTATAACCTAGTAACAAAGGCTCTGACAGCCCCAAACTAATGAAGATGGCATCCAATTGGTTGCTAGGAGTTACTGCACTTTCCAAATCATCACTGCGCTGTGGCTTAACACATAGGCCAGTTGCTTTGCTGCAGATTCCTTCATAAAGAGAGTAAATGTTTAGTACTTACCATTATAGAGAACACGAATGCAACAATGTTTATCGGATATGCCGGGCAGAAACAGGCGAATATCGATAAGATCAAGTAATTGCTGGGCATGGGAGGTGGCGGGGATTCATTGTCAATGTTAGTCGCTGGGCCCTCTTCTAAAGCCCTTTTGATTTCTGGACTGGATGGAGTTTGAGACATGGAAAATTCAGTGCACAGAAAGGGGTCTATCCAGAAAGGTTCAGCTGTCTTCTTTGAGGCTGAGGGGCGGCTATGAAACCCAAGTTGGGATTCAAGGAAGAAGTGATCTCATCTCGGCTGATGCCTGATCAGCAAAGGAGCAGCAGCCAGGGTGCTAGTGGAAGAAGGCAGACACAAAGCCTTGCATGTAGTCCTCCTCACATGTGAAATGCAGATCTCTTGAGTGGAGTTGACTCTTAAATCCTTCTATTGCTATTTGATGCCCGGAGCAGGCCGGTTCCATCTAGGACAGAGCTAGTGCTGTTTATCTCCTGGCAATATGGGGTACTTCTCTCAGGATGTGGAAATACTTATTTTAATACACTGCTATTATGTAATTAGAAAGTGGCAAGTGTTAGAGAACTTGTAATGTCACAGCATCTATCATGGCTCTGACACAGTATCACATACTGGCATGGCAGATTATAATGTATAACAGCTGCATTCCAAAACAGAAAATCACTGATTGCATGCTGGTACTTCTAGTTCTACAAAAGCTGGACAATTACAGATCAATTGCTAAACTGCACTGTAGCCAATATGTAAATTCGCTTAAAGTGTATCTAAACCTGAAGAATGTAATATATTGTAGCTTACCGGCCCTTAGAAATGATAGCTGCATTTGTTTCCTTTGTTAAGTCTTTTTCCCTTTATTTTCACCTGGTGATCCTGCCAGTAACATACTCCCTGTCCTAGGGTACAGTGCTCACTCACTGTACTGTGTTTATGGAGTGTTGTCACCCTAGGGCCGGAAATGTGATAGGACTACAAAACAGTACTTTAGATAGAGTTTACATCTACTCTAATTGATTTTTTCTAATTAACGCGTAGATGAATCTAAATGCTTTTGGATCCTTTTGCTAATAAAAAAAAAATCACATCCTTTTGTTGCTGTAACATTACTGCACCCAAACCATGGTGTTTAAATTCTTCCTGCTTGTCAGTGGGTAGGCAACTTAAAGAGGACCTTTATCCACATCTTTAAAATGACAACAAAGGCACCTTTAGAAATGTTTAGTAATGACAATCTACAAACACATACTTGTAGATTTCTGGTTCTCAACTAGTGGGTTGCAACCCAAAAGTGGGTCGCAGCCCTGTGTTTAGTGGTTTGCAGCGTGGAGGGTTGCCACTTGTCCAGACGGTTCCATTTCTCTCCGGGTGGAGGGGGTGGCAGAATCGTGTCATTATTCCAGCTGCAGTCACTCCCCTCCCCGTGGAATGGTTCGCTTCTCCCCAACTCTCTCCTCAATCAGCCGCCGATGCTGGCGGTGGTCAAGTGTGTGTGCACTGCTTCCCCCTGGCCACTCCATGGGAGGCTGCTGACTGCAGCATTGAGCTCTGGCCAAGGGGAAATTGTTACTTTGGGGGTGTCACTATTGGGGGTTGGAGGTGCTGTTGAATGAGGTAATGGTGTGTCAGGCTGTGTGCGGCAGGGGGGGGGGGGGGGTTTCTCAAGTATTGAGGTTTCAGTCAGTGTGAAGGGGTTCTGGGGTATTGGGGTGTCAGACCGTGTGCGAGGGTTGTGGGGTATTGGGGCGTCAGGCTGTGTGCGAGGGTTCTGGAGTATTGGGGTGTTAGGCTGTGTGCAGAAGTTCTGGGATATTGGAGCGTCAGGCTGTGTGCAGAAGTTCTGGGGTATTGGGGTGTAAGGCTGTGTGCGAAGGTTCTGGAGTATTGGGGCGTCAGGCGGTGTGCGGGGGTTCTGGGGTATTGGGGCATCGGGCTGTGTGTGGGGGTTCTGGGGTATTGGGGCATCAAGCTGTGTGCAGGGGTTCTGGGGTATTGGGGTGTCAGGCTGTGTGCAGGGATTCTGGGATATTGGGGCGTCAGGCTGTGTGCGGAAGTTCTGGGATATTGGGGTGTCAGGCTGTGTGCAGACGTTCTGGGGTATTGGGGTGTAAGGCTGTGTGCGAGGGTTCTGGAGTATTGGGGCGCCAGGCGGTGTGCGGGGGTTCTGGGGTATTTGGGCGTTAGGCTGTGTGTGGGGGTTCTGGGGTATTGGGGCGTCAAGCTGTGTGCAGGAGTTCTGGGGTATTGGTAGACATGTGCAGCGGCTAAAAATTCATTTAATTTCGGATTTCGTTTATTTCGTTTTTGGAATTCCGATCCTATATGTGTTTCGTTTCGGGAATCGGATTCGTATTCGGATCTGATTCGGAATTCGGATTTGGAATTCGGACGAATTCTCGAAAATTCAACTTGAGGTGGGGTAGCAGAATTGGCACATTTGTCATTTCTGGTTGCAGTGCTCTAGTCTTTACTATTAAAGGGACATTAAAATAATTCTCTTGTTTTTATCCGTTTAAATGTTAACACTGCACGCACAGGATTTGTACGAAATTAGTTTGGATGTTTTCGGATGATTTCAGATATGTTATAGTTCGGAAATTTGGATGCTCCGAATCTACGAATTTCCGAAATTTCGTCCGAATTTTGATTCGTATGAAACTAATCGCACATGTCTAGGTATTGGGACGTCAGGGTGTGTGCAAGGATTCCGGGGTATTGGGGAATATATACAATGTGGAATGCTGCACAAGTTGTTTTGTGGAATAAATTCGAATGTTTCGGAAATTAAATTATTTTTGGGTTCGAACTTAATGACCAAGGACAAATGTGGGTCCTGAGGGTAGATAGGCTTCGAACCACTGTTCTAGATAATTGCCGGCTTTGTATTCTTTGCATACATTATTTCTCTTTTCTTCCCCAGTCTTCTCACAGTGGCCATGTTTACTAAGGGAAGATTACTAACTCTCCATTTACTTCCTGGAACTCTGGCACATGTGACCATGGACATCATCTCAGGGGCGGAAAATGCCTTTCCCTGTGATCTCATGAGATTACAGATGAGATTTCCCAGCAATGCTCTGCTGATATAATCTTCCCAGGATGCAATGCTTTGGCACATTACATAATTTGTGCCAGAACTGTACCAGGAAGTGGATACATTCTATTTGAAAGTAAGTGAAAAATAAGTTTGTTTATCTAATAAATGTAAGATGATTTTACATCAGCATGCAGAGCTGCATGCTGCTGGGATGTTTAGTGAAAGGGGGTAAAGGTCCACTTTAAAGTGGCTTTTGCATCATGTATATTGTTTCATCTTGCATTCATACTTAATAATAATAAGTGTAAAGGTGGCCAAACATTAAATTCGCACAGTGGGTGCCGCTGTTGGCTTCCTTTCGTCCGGCATCCCTTGATTAGATGATTGAAGGAGCCAGTTGGAAAAACTTTGAATGAACCGAGGAGGCAGCCAATCAGCCAGGGGCCGCTGTCAGAATACAAAAGAAACAGCAGGGATTCCTCAATCAACACTCGTATAGCGTTGACGGAGGAATCTGTTCTTTTGTTTCCTTCAGCCAGCGGGTTGAACAAAAAAATAGAACAGTGTATAGCCAGCTTTATACTTGCGGGTATTTATTACCTTTTGCAGATCATATTACTCCTCCTTTATTCTCTAGAAAGACGGGACCATTTTTTGTACCGGTACTATTCAGGGTCGTCATGTACTTCTTGGACTGAGATTACACAGCCATGTAAATCCTGGTGCCTATGCAGTTATTGCCTGTGTTTAACAATACCTGACACAGATCAGCCCCTGCTGCAGCCTCTGACCGTGCGACTTGATACAAATTGGTGAGGGGACTGAGAAAATGCATCCTCCTGCCTACAGCTGAACGATGGCATCATCTTAGTCTAAGCAAAATCCTTTGACTGTAGCCCATGGACTACTTTTTAAGATACAATGTACAGCTTTTTGGGAAATTATGCTGCTGCTGTGTATTTATTCCTGTAAACCTATAGCTTGTAGTTACTAAAAGTTCCCCTTTGATTGGAATGTATAGTAGTTAAATACAAACGTCTTTTTATTATGGTCAGGAATAAACAACAAAAGTGTTTACAATGATTTATTTTTTATTTTTTTATAAATCAGGAAAAAAAAGAAATATTGCAAATGCATATCATGTATGAATGTATCTTGTCAGCAGATAGAGCTTTAGGATGTTTTTAGCAGGGTTTCCAAATTCTCCTTACCTTCTGTTGGTTGCAGAGTGCAATAGTGCAAGCTTAAAATGACAAACAAGTCAAGAATGTCAGAGATGTGGCCCCTTCAGTCCCCTCCTTCTGTATGGCTATATGTGAACTTTAATCATTATCTTTACCTTTAGAAAACCCATATGGGGGAGTTCAATAAAGCAGATACTACACTTTTCTGGCAGTATGCTTCCTTTAAAACAACCTGCGTCTATCTCATGAAAGCCTTGCAACAGTTTCGGTTGCAGTTCCAACATGTGCAACACATTCAGGTAGTTCTATCACCACTTTAAGAGCCCATCACTGTCGCTGCAACAGATTATGGCAGTAATAAGACCAACTCTGATCTTGTGTATAGAGAGATGCCAGAGCAGTCAGCAAAGGGAGGAATAAAGAATGTATGCCTCCTCTAGACAAAACAAGCATTTAACCTATGCTGTGCAGGGAGGGAGTTCTCCTTTAAAGCTCCCTCTATAGTACTGTCCTACAGACAGCCATACTTCACAGGCAGATTCCTTGTGAGGTTTTAACCCACACTTTATACACTATTGCACAGTGGCATGTGTTACTTTTCCCTGTACGCCACCCACTTTATATTTTGTCATGATACGAAGACAATTTCCTTTGTTTTTTAAGCTATCCTATACATGTAGTGTTCAAATGTACCTGAATGTTTGGTAAGCACACTAGTTATATGTATGAACCAAGAGTGGACTCTCCTGTGTTTCATTGATAGTAATGTACTAGCCCCATTGGGGGCATTACTACAGATCATAGGGCCCCATAGCAAAATTTTGATGGGGCTCCCCAGTGATTTACCTACTGTCAATGATCTTAACATGTAGCAAGAAAGCTGTCAGCATAGACACAACTTTTAATGACCAGTACTGTAGACAGAAGTTGCCAGAAAAGAGCAGCAGTGCA